TTATTGTATTCGATCAGAACATAAATTCTGTCGTAGCGGAGTGTGTGTGCACATCAGCATGTAACGGTGAGTGAATTTTGCATCAGCGACCGACCATTGCGAGTTATCAGAAAATACTTCATCCATCGCAAAATCTTCCCACCTCCTCAAATGATTGTGTGCTCACGCTCAGCAGTGACGGCATTTGTGTCCAGCTCAATAATATCACATTGCAATCGGTCGAATACGTTGATTATAAAATATATAAATGCTCTCTATATCGGCCGTGTATTGAAGGTATTGCGGACTATGTGTCACTTTCACGTCCTGAATTACTTACATTTATGCTGGTTCCTACCACAATCCTTTAATCAAACTTTTCAGTACACGCGACATTCAGTGGTCATCATCTTGAGTAATCATGTTCAATTTTACCTCTTCATTCTCAGTCTAAGTTTAACTTATGCCGTTGAGAAACAACGTTTTCACGTCGACCATATCCGAACTTCACATTAAATCATTCAGTTCATCTCAGTGCAAAAAAATACAAATTACCATTCTCCCTCTGATATGGCTAACTTAATGTTTGTTGTTAATTCATGACACATTGATAAAGTTAAACGGTGCGAAATGTACCGTGAAATGCCAAGTTTATAATTAGCACACTAATTCGATGAGCACAATTCTCACCACTGTTCTCACTTGATTTTGGTCAATATTTGAACAGATACCGATCGAAATTAGAACCAAAATAACATAAATGAGTCAAAATTATTGAAGAATATTAACAATGCATTCAAAATCATGNCGAAATGAATTTAAAATGTTGCGTCGTTGTTTTAGCTTATTGTTATACTGTGTTGATGTTCCGTTCAGTTTTGCTGGATTGTTTCTAATTAGCTTTTAGAGCGTTCATTTGAAACGCGCTATGTGTTATACTCGCTGAATGATACAAACTTCGACTGATGACAACGATGATGAATTCTTAAATAATTGTCCATAGTTCCATTTGTTTATAGTAATATAATACGTGAATGAATGACATTCGTTCTTAATTGTGATACATCACGTTGCATTTCAACTAGCACTTCAAAAAGGCAACCTTTCCGATGTTTCGGATTTACCGATGCAAAAATTCTTATGATGTTATCTGGAAGCTATACATATGAAAAGAGGCAGTTTCAATTGAAATGTGACAACCCTGACTGATTTCAATACGTTTTTTTTGCACAACTCATCTCATATGTTGAGCTAGATATTTTTAATTTCTCGATGAATACCATTTATATGTTGGGACTCAGCATAAGGTGTGATAGATTAAATCGTAGAGATGTGATCGACGAATTGAATAAAAGAAACAATATCTCAACGATAATACAAAAAAATGAAAAACAAAACGCAGAGTGCTTTAACGAACGCAAAAAGCGATATGAGATGAGATACTGCATGCAAAAAAATTATCATAAAACAAAAACGAAGTGACAAACCACCAAACTATTACATTATACGTATTACAAATACAACGCAGCAAATCGAAGTCCCACTTTAAATGCCTAATTATTTCATTGCAATTAGTTGATTTCAACCGCATTACATAACCAATCATTCAATCCACGACCGAATTTCACTTATGATACACCAANACCACAACGATCATATCCGGTTAATATGAGCATTCGCGTAGATTTTTCTCCGAACTTTTTTTACACATTCGTTCCAAATATACTTGAAATCAACTGATAACTCAAAATCATCCTACTCACATTAGAAATATTCCAAGAGTGGAGTTCTGCTTTAAAATAGACCATGAAAAGGACAAATTGAATACAACGTAAAGAATGCTATCAGCACGCAATGCATCAGTATTTAACATTAATCATAGTGACATTCATCCGATTTTTTTAATCAATTATGATTTCAAAACGAATAAAACGAAACGCATTTGAAAGCAAACAGCATACAAGCATTATAAACAATGAAGAAGAACACATCAGATGAAACCACTCAAAATCATTCCTTTAATTGAAGCAATAATAATTTCTTGTATAAATTACATAACTGCACGGACACGATCCAACGAGTGTGCAATAACAGACGTGAGGAGTAAGGACGGCGTGAAAACAAATACATAACCTAGAGATAACATTACACGCATATTAACACGTACTAAAGAAAAACGATTAACAGATGACCATTATGCAAAAAAAGCTTCCATCAATAGCAAATTCGCAGAAGAAGTACTTATTAAAGAATAAAATGTTTCAAGCATATGCAAAAGCAAGATATTTGCAGTGTATCAGTCTGAATGCATAAAATATTGTTCGGAAGACGAATCGAATTGAAGCAAACTAAAATCGTATAACAAAAATGTTTATTTCGAGAAAAAAAAGAGACCCGATGTTAAGTATTTATACATTCATACAAGATGGATTACATGAAATAATATATTGACGAATAAAAACGATAGATGAATAAAGCGAAGCAAACACAAAGACACACACACACACACACGAAAACACACTATTAAATGATTGTGATTGCATTTGCATGAGACTATCNTGCTTGGTGGGTATTTTCGTGAATGATTTGGCACCCGAATCGTATCTGAAAACGCTGACAACTAAAACAATCGAACCAAACTCTCAAACTTTTACATAATGGAACAGAGCGGGTCCTTCAGGAAATTAGAGTCCAACGACGTTGATGGTGAGTGGGTATCGTGAAAGGACGAAGTGGAAATTTTGAAAGAAAGTAATTTTAAACGCAGTTCATGCATCATTTGCTTCGTTTCATTTGTTCACTTACAAATGGACACCACTCCACATGCTCTGTGGAATGATCCGGCAATTTTGAATCAGTGAAAATATTCGAGTCAATTGAGTAACATCCCAATGATCCAACATAAAGGAGCCGTTTCGAAATTCTTTCCATGACTACGATAAAGAATAAGACTGTATCTGTAATGAAGAGAAAGCAAGCTCAACATTACTATTGCCAATTATTTTTAAAAATTAAACCAACTTGAACATGAAATGCATCATTGATTCATGGCAAAGAATTGGTCCACGACCGTGAACCCTATGTGCCGTATCAGACTGCTGATCCCAACTGTATGCACCCATGTAACGACACTTTTGATCACGGAACAGCAACAGAAAATGTTTACTATCACTCTTTGCCAATTCACCCAATACCTGATGTTTAATTGATTAATAGTGTCATACCTTTTCGGTACAATGAGGAAGGCAATGACAATGCAGTTCAAATTCATTGAAATAGTTTTAAATAGGAAATTTTCTTACACACAAATGGTAAATTGAAATAAAGATGAAATTTATGGACAAGAAAAGTGAAAGATGAAGCACTAAAACAGAATTAAAACAATACTTCAATAGTTTACTAACTTCATTTCGCATTTTATCAGAAACAGCTCCTGGAAAAACAGAGTACTGCAGAGCATTGATGATCATCGACCGATTCGATTTGTGCACATATTTCGAGAATAGTTTCAGTGCTGAAAATGAATAATTTGAAATCAAACAGAAAATTAAATCTGTTGATCACTCATATCGATCATAGATATGTTTATTCCGCTGATCGTCAATTCAGCATTCGTATCATTCGCCTTTTCTGGAGTGTCCAAAAATTCGTACGAAATGTTCTAAAATTGCAATATTTTAAAGACTGAATGATGTGTCTCACTTGGTTCAGCCGTACTCGGGACAGTGACACGTGCCGACGACGGAGCACTGCTGTCATCGATAGTGCTTTGTGGACGTGTCGACGAGCGATTTAGCGTTCGCGATCTCGCCAATTCAACCTTAATTAAGTTTCCTTCAACGAATTCTTTTCGAATAAATCAACGACAATCAACATGAACTTATCATGCAAAATGAATTTTCGGCAAGATATCAGTTTTTAAACGGTTACCTCGACTCTACTAACAGAGATTCAATTCATTGATTGATGAAAGAAGCACAGAAATTAGTTACTGTCAACAAATAATCTAAAAAAGTCACTCAAATTTTGCTCAAAAACACACCGTGCTTTTCGGTCTCGATGGTGTGGGCGGCTGACTATGTCCACGTCCACTCTGACTTCCGCTTGCCTCCAGCTCTCTTTCCATCTTTTTCCGCTTATAATCTTCGAGAATTTTTTGCCTGAAAGTAATGTTCCTTATTTCAGCAGCTTTTGTAACGAGCCTTGAATTCGCTATTGAAAATGTATGTTAACTGTATTTTATCGTCAAATCAAGTCAAGACCCTTGAATAAGTGCTAATTGTACGTTGAAATAACAATCGAATAAAGAAATCAACCTTTGCAGTTCACGCTCTCGTTTCCTCATTTCAGCTGCTTCTTGCTTTTCGAGTTCAGCTTGTCGCCTTTCTGCGTTCTTCGCTTCGATCTCCTCAACCCTCTGTTCGATTTGCTCTCGTCTTCGAAGTGTTTTCGCCAATAAAGCTTCTCGTTTCGCCTCCATTTCGCGTGTCTCAATTTCATATTGTGAGATTTTGTCATTTGTCATGAAGGAATAAAACAAAATGAATAAATTTTTTTTAGTTACCATAACAAAAACGACGAAAACCGTTTTCATACCCAAATCAGTGTCGATTCAACGTACGAACTTCTCTCGAGCATCA